TGCACATCGTCCAAAATATATAATCGACTGCAGGTCGAAGCTGGTGACGTCGATATTGCACACCCCAAAACCACACCGATCGTACTTAAACAAGAATACTGTTAAATCGGTACATATCGCGAACTGCAAATTTCTTGGTCCCCGCTATCGCACCACCCAGAGAGGTGTATTGAGTTATGATGGGTTGCCAACAAAGGGGGCTGCTCACACCGCTGAATGCTTATAATACAACCTTCAACCGTGATATATATTGCCGATCCCAAATCCAGACTATGCGGCGCCAAAATTAATCAATCCGCAACTGCTACAGAAGAATCGGCTTTCACTATTCACTTGACTATACTCACCATGATATCTGACGGAACAGATTTGATATGCGAAGCCAAATCGGTTTTCTCGGCCGTTGATTGCTTCCTGATGCACTCCTCTATCGTCCGCCGCAACCTATGCGTGCGCAAGGGTTCTGATCTTTTGATCTGAAAGTATAAATCAGAATTGGAAGGTATGGATCTTTAGGAAATGGGGTTTCTTCATTCTGAGCGATACAAGGATTAGCGGAGTCCGTTAACTACATCTTGAACCCCCGGGCTACAAATAGAATAGCAGCCGATAGTTCAGTATGCAGTCTGAGAATATAAATCAACAATAGAGTGGGATTCCAGCACCGGTCCAATAACAGAGCCATCGCGATAGAGCATAGCACTCGGTACCACATGAGTGAACCTTTGACCACTCTCAGCCACCAGCAGTTGTAGGTATAAGTTTGAAAGAAGGGGGGTTCATGGTGTGCCTGATACGCTAAGGTGCACTCCGTCTACGCATGTGTTGTTTTCTCGTATCTCACAATATGTATACGTAAACAATCCGTAAACGGGACAAACATAACTGAATAAAGCTGGTCTTGGTCCCACCTCATAGAATATACGTATGTAATAGGCACACAACATATAATACACGTATAAAACTGTTGGACCTCGCAATAAGTAAAAGCATGCGATATGCAAACACAACGCACACAGCGGATACAGCTACGCCTGGTAGTATTTCGCAACACGCACACATATACATCACATAAACGGGCATAACCACACACACCGGTGTGGCATAGAAAGTACACCGAACTGTACCTTGCTCTTAGACGCCTCCAATCGCAGGGGCAAGCGGACGCTCACGCACTGATCTCGATGTGTCAACAAGAAGGTATCGGCACTATCTGAGCTGAGGAATAACTCGTCAAGCATCAGTGCACACTGAATCTCATTTTCGCCCACCGAGGGGACGGTAGTGGTGAACTTGGTCGTGTTGTAGGTGACGACCAGCATCAGGTCGTAGAGGAAGAAGTGGCATACCTACAAGAAGGAGAAGGGAAGTATGGAGTTGGGTTTAGGTTTTGCGAGGTCAATGCGAGATCGGTGTGATGTACAGGCTCGGATAGATAGTGAGAGTGGACACTGACTGGATTGTGATGCAGAGAGGCTGATTTTAAAAACAGACTTCAAAAATAGTGAACACCCCAATCTGCAATCTATACAACCAACCCACGCTTAAACACGGCAAATATCGCTTGTAAGAGGTCTTAAACAGTTCATGTTCTTACCTTGAATGTCACATACACTGTGATTTGGATAGTCGTTATGTATACATAGGCTGCACTGTCCACCACAAACAAACAGGAAGTGTGGGCTATCTCATGCACACCAGCTTCTGTCAGAACTCGGACTAGGTCCGGGGACGGTGGATGTGACCTTAAGATACAATACACCCACAATACATATACAATATACGTACATAGAAGTATATGTATATATATCGTAGTCAACAACGTGGCCACGCACTTCCGCTCCGGGTATGACAGTCGTAATCCCATGTAAAGGCGAGGCAGAGTCCAGAAACAAATCAACGACATGC